TCAAGTTCGAGGAACACGTGGCGAGCATACAAAGGCAGAGGGAGGGGTCTAGGGGTCTATGATATCTCCAATAAGAGACGTATGGGGCTAACTGAATATGAAGCCGTCAAAGAAATGCATGATGGAGTTGCAGAGTTGATAAGAATTGAAAAAGAAATGTGAGTTACTGTAGTTCTAAACTGTAATCTTTGGTTAGGTATTAAATTTGTACTGAATTCACTGCAAATAAATATATTTTGAAATTGAAATGAAATCTTCACTTTCTACATTTAAAAAATTTTATTAGAATTTAAAGGAAAAATTTAAAAACAAAATCGAAAAAAAAACATGACAAATTTCCTAGTGTGTATAAAAGAAAACATTAGTAAAATAAATAAGGTATATAATAAAAATATAAATCTATATATTTTCATATTCCATGAAACTAAAGTTGAAATGAACACTTGCTATTAAATGTGCATTTATTTGCACCTCTACTGTACTTTGCTATAGACGTTTGTTTTCAGAGGTAGATGCATAAATTTAATAATTCATAAATACATGTGTTTAACAAATGTAAATTTCATTTTCAGACTGGTTCTTGGTATCAGAATTATAATTAATCTTATGTAATTAATCGTGTATTTATATACAAGGATTAAAAATTAGTATCGTATTCAAAATGTAATGGAGATACGTATAAAAGTGTTTACCTACAGTTTTACATAATAAAAGTAACATTTAATGCAATAATGTTATTAAATTATTGTTCATAATTATTATTTTAATTATTTTCCTACAGACTCGTTATATATTAAGCTTAACCATTCGAAAAAGAACGGTTACACGATAAATTTTGTGATCGGTGTTAGTTGGCCTGTCCTATGAATTTAAGGGTTGTCAAAAGGGCGAAGTGAAATATAAGGATTACATATCGATATCGTAGCTGTTTGCATCGATAGAAATGACAGCGTTTTCTGACGATAATGCGGCGTGTTTTATAAGCCTCTTTAATATATTAGGTTATAAAACCGTTATGAAAGATGTCATTCTGGCATTAGTGCTATTATAATTACATACAAAAAATAGAAATTTTGTAAAGATCTTGAAACTTGCGTGATCATGTTTCGATGACGATAAATTAAATTCAATATTTGGTGTCTATTTGTGAAATTAAAATTAGTATAAAGCTTCGTGAACAAGATAGTTGATCATAAAAACAATTTCATTATGAGTCCTACACAGAAACCTAAAGTATTGCATTTGCCATTAGCGCGAGTAAAAACTATTATGAAAAGTTCTCCAGAAGCAGAAGCCGTTTCGTTTGATGCTTCCTATTTCGTAGCAAAATCTGCGGTGAGTTTTACATTCAAATTCTATCAAGTTATTTTTCTAATATTTTAACAATTGAACTATTATTACATATGAGTTTTGATTATATGTGGACACTACAGAGAACAATAAAACTGAATATTGTATTTTAATTTATACTTTTATGAAGTTACTTCAAGAGGATTATCAGTTATTGATATTGTGCTTATTCTTAAAAATCATACCTTGAGAATAGCTATCATAACTAGGTAATAAAATTAATAACAAGGTTTTGATTAATTTGAATTTATTGCAGGAGCTTTTTGTCGCTTACCTTGCTAAACAAGCTTATAGTAAAGGTAAAAAAGATTTGGATTATAAAGATGTTACCAATGTTGTTCATAACAAAGACACATTAGACTTCTTATGGGAATTAATGCCAAAAAAATTACGGTGAGACAATACAAAGAACTAATGTCAAAAAAGAAAGTGGAAAAAGATCCCATTTCCAGTTTGGAATCAGAAGAATCTGATAGTGAGGAATGATAGTAATTAATAACTAATTATACAGGTTGTAATTATATATTACAATATATATTTTTACAATCATTATTACATTTCATCAAACAAATCATCCATTTCAATGTCTTCTGGCGGTTCTACAGACTCTGTTTCCGAAACCTTCAGGAACATATCAGCTTCTTGTTGCGATATTTTGCTTAATGGGTTTTCATCAATAGTAATCAAGCCCAAATTTTCTTTCACCAGATTACTCCAGAATAAGTCTTTCCTATTTTTTAACACAACATCTTTAAGCTCCTTCAGCCAGTCATTATATTCTTTTGTGTGTGTTTTGATACATTCATCTCTCAATGTTCTCAAAGCCACCAATGCTTTGGAATAATCGGTGTCAAATGACTTGAGAGGAATATTGTAAATTACTTGTTGTAACTGCTTAATCACTAGAACAGCAGTAGTTTGAATTTGGATCATATACAAAACAAAAACAATTACTACTTACCAGTCAATTTATCTTCTCTAGTAATTAATTTTAAGAAATCTTCTGATGGGTTCACTGTGCCCACTTCAACAAGTTCGGCTTTAATTGCATCTTGAATTTTAAGTATGTCTTTTGCTTCTTGAATACTCTGTAAATCTTCCTCTTTGCCAATTGTCTTCAGACGGCTAAATTAGATTAATAAGTCAAACATTTAGTGATTTTAATAAAATTGTTCCTATTTGTTTAGTTTGTAATTAATTTATAAATACTATAAGCAATCTTCTTTTACATGTATATATGGTAAATCTTAAATATGTAAACAATAATCCTTACACATACAGAATGAAAGTAGTAGTTAATCATTCCTTATTCATATAAAGAATGAATAAGAACTAATCAAAAGTTACTTGTTAACTATCTAAACTAGATCAGTAGTATAATATTTCAAATAAGGACCAAACAAACATTGTTAACACATAAGTTACATGCAAATAAACAATTTTAATTAATACATTGTTTTAGAAAATAAACTCTACATATATACTTTTGCAGCTCACACTAATTGGAATTTATTGTGAAACAAAATAAATAAAAACATTGCCTTCAAAATAAAATATGCTTTGGAATAATCATATTCAAGTAATTTGAGTAATGTAATATGAGAAATTTGAGAATATTTTGATTATTGAAATGCAACGTAGTTAAATATTGTTCCTATCATACACTTTTTTAATATATATATATTTTATTTTATATATATATTTTAATATATATATATATATATATATATATATATATATATATATATGTTGATAGAACTAAACTTTTTAAGCAGGCATCCATCCAGATAATAAAGATAAAACTATATTTGAAAGTAAATTTAATGGTCCATATAACAAAATATAGCTTTCTTTATATTTATTATCTGAATGAATGCCTGATTAAAAAGTTTATAGTTTTATCAACGAAAGAATTATATGAGGATAGTTTTGGCGATGTTGATACATATTTGAAGTATTTTGCAGCCCAATTGTTGAATCAATTTTAATTTGACGATTGGGCTGCAAAATACTTCATATATATATATATATATATATATATATATATATATATATATATTAGGTTGTCAAATATCTCCCTTCCGCTTTTTTGCTCTTGGCAATACAAAAAGGCAGAAGGGAGATATTTGACAACCTATTATATATATATATATAATATATATATATATATATTTTTTGATGTGCAGGTTTTAAATATGACTAACTAAAATTAAATATTGCAAATACCCATTAAAATTAATCTTACCTATTGATCCATTTGTTCCGTTCAGATATCATTTCCTGTTTCTCGATTAGTGGGAATAAATCCTTTATTTTTGCAATTGCCTTTTGTGAACCTTCCAATATTTTTTCAGGAACATTTATTAGATTTAGCACATCTTTCTGGACTGGAGGCAGCTGTTTGGTCTTATACATAGCACGGAATGACAAGCTTTGGAAAGCATGCTGCATATATGGATTTAAAGTTCTCTTCACATGATATGCCTCCATAGGTTCGCCATCTTCAGTCCTATTTCATGGAGAAATTGCACAGTATTTATTAATTTTACATATTACGTATAAATTGAATTTGAGTTTGTAAATAAACATAGTATAAGTATTTTCAGTTATTCAATCTGAAATTGCACAATTAATCACATTTTTGTGGTATATTAAATATTTTACAATTAAGTGAATATATCCAGATGAAATTATATAACAATACTGTTGGTATCGGTTATTTATTTATGTAATATTATTCTCAGGAGTCTTGATAACTATCATAGATAAAATATAAAACTATTAGTTTATTTTTATGTGGAAAACAAAAAAAAGAACAGCATAGCTTACAGAGATGAACTCCAGTTCTATTTTATAAGTTGTTATTGTTACCAATAACATATAGTAAAAAAACTATTTGTCACGTAATGAGATTCTGCAAAAAATATTTTGTATAGGTAATTAGGTAATTAGTACAATATCACAATCACTAATATATTTAGTTTTTCAATGAACAAGAACAATTGCAGCGTTTTTTGTGATTTAAAATATACTATTTTAACAATTCCTACTCTTTTGTTGGCAGGATGAACCACTTGCATACTGTGACTCTGGATAAAATTCTGTTTTAGATCTGTAAATAAATACTAATAAATGAGTGGATACTAACTCGGCTGCCGTCATCAGATCCATAGAATCAATTAGTGAATCAACAGCTTTTAATTGCTCTTCATTTGGCGTATTTTTTTTTCCTAATAAGGGTGGAAAGCTAAGAAGATGCAGATCTTCAAAAAAGGGTAATTGTATCATACAGAGGCATTTAAACTTATTTGTAATCTTTGGTAATAAACATTGTATTGTTGGCGCATTTCCACAATTGTACACTCTTCTAGCTATTCCAACAACTTCACTATTTTGCATTGAATCAACAAGAGCGGAAAAGGCCCTCTCGGAACTCTAAAATATGAAAGCACCATACAACAAACACATATATATTTTTAAGCACTAAACTGTTTAACAAGTTACCTGATAACCTTTCCGTGCCACTATACAAGTAACACCATTCCCTGAGAACCATTCACGATGAATATTAGACAACTTAGTAAAACCTAGAATAATTAAACATCTTGGACCAGAAGAATAGCTCATAGTCTCATCGGCAGAAGTATAAGGCACAATGGTAGCACCATATTGATAGCCAGGAATTAGGTCTGATTTATCAATTTTTGAATTATTTTCTGACTAAAAAGTAATTATCATATTCACTGAAAATTATTTTTTTACAGATAATTGCAGTTAACATATTTTTAACACTTACATGCTTGAAATACTGCCGTTGAATTTCACATGCTCCATCTAATACAGTAGTTCTTCTCTTCCATGTTGGTAAGCAGTTATCATCTGAGATCTGAAAAATAGTTGATGTGTTTAGATTACATTACATATCAAAAATATATAGCTGGAAATTATTAGAGTATTATTTGTTTTATTATAAGCAAAGAAATCTTTAATTAATGTTTGATATAACATTATTAGTCTAGTTCTGTGTAAATATAGATCCACTTGTCTCTAATACATTATTACACAGACTGGGGTACAACATGACTTCAACAATGTCTCAATAATTTAGTAATAAAAAGAAAAAGTAGAAATAATGAAGAAAAGATCATAAATAAATATTAAAAAGAAAACATCTCATTAAAGGGTTCATCCTAATGTTCTTTCAATGAAATGAAATGAAATTATATATATATATATATATATATATATATATATATATATATATATAGTACCTTCTTATAACCACAAATAGAAATACTTATGTCAGGTCCAATTTGTAAATTAGTATACCAAGGTGTGGGCCTAATCTGTTTATTCTCAAAGTACATGAGTTCTGTCACAGCATCATCAAAATTGCACATAGAACCGTTTGTCTGAAATTTTTTCTTTTAGTAATTTTTGTTCAATAACAGTTTATTCAACATACCTCTTTAATTATAAGACTAATCAGTTTTTCTCCCTCTTCTTGATGTGGTAACTTAGGAACTTTTTGTGAGAAAAAACTAGTTTCTAAATCACTTTCATTGCCTGAATTGAATTCTGGTATGACATTGGCACCTCTATTTCAAATAAGAATAATAAATTCAAGTATAAAAGCATAATAATCGCATAAAAGTATAATCATATTTACAGTTTAAGAATAATTACTGTAGCATCTAGTAAGAAAAAAATAATACACTCTGTGTTCAGTTATTATTTTGAGTGGACCAGAATAATTAAAAGTAATTAAGTCATGAATTTTTCATTCATTTTTGTTGATGTGCAATACAATAATTATATCACTTCAATGATTGCAAACCAAGTCTCGAGTTTAATACTAAGGTAGAAGAAATAAATTAAGAAATTAAATAGTAAGTAAAGCCCGAATCACACGAGGCTTGTTTTGTTGCTTTATGGCTCTGCTTGCCAGGTAGCTGGCGGTCGAGAGTCCAAAATGACGTCATAGCGATCTCGCTTTCTTGCCAGCATGCTGGATTTTGACATTAGAACGTGTGCTATTTTTCGAGATGGATTTGCCCGTCCCGACCAATCGGGAAGCAGTATTTTGTCACATGGTTCATCATGTGACGGCACTGCTGTCAAACTTGAAGAAAGAGTACGACATATTTTGGAAATAGTTATGAAATCAATGTCAATTGATCGGCCTCGGACAAAAACATATAGTTTTTAAAATATTATTTAATTTAGATAATTTAGATAATTTAAAATAATATAAACGTAAATGATAAATGATATCCAAAAACATTTTCTATTTTATTTAAGTATAAATATTTTTTTATATTTTTTTATATATAGAAGCATTTTGATTTTAATTTATTTTAATTATTTCATTTATTGGAGAAATATTATTGAATATTATATTTCTAAAATTCACAAAAAAATATTTAAAATTAATTAATATTCAAAATTAAAATATATATTTATAAAGTTTACTAAAACAATAATTAAATTTTTACAATATTATTTATTATTTGTATTGATTTTATTTATTTTTACTAATAATGTTTCAATACATAATTTAATTCAGATTTATGAAAATTTAAATAAATTATATAACTTTCCAATTTTTTTTTAAATTATTATATTAATTATCTCTTTTCTATATTAATTTTATTGAATTGTTCTTATTAAAATTAATGTTATTTTCTATGACCCGTGTTAAATAGAAAAAGTAAACTAAAAGTATTGTTGTTAATTGTAACTAAACTAAAAGTATTGTTTATACGAAAAATTGTATTGAACTAAAAGTATTGTTGAATTTCGAGGTTATGTCGCACGGCACCTATTAACCACGCTTAAAATCTAGTTCAAAAAGCCTCGTGTGATGCGTACGGCTAGAAAAATATCATGATTTACAGCGCCGTCATCGGCAAAAAAATCAAGCGGGAAATCCAGCGTCAGAAAACAAGCCTCGTGTGATTCGGGCTTAAATTCATAATTTAATTTGAATTGAACATTTATGGTTTTTCAGAATATACAGTTATAAATATTTTAACTTTCTTACAAAGGTCTGTTAAGGAAAATAATGTCATTATTTTTTAATAAAAATGCCAAGTTTTTATATTAACGATATAAAAATTCAACTATTGTTTATGCAGGCACAGAATTAGAATTTGTGTGTTTAAATTAATTTTAAATTTTTCTTGAGAAAAATCTAATAACATAAAACAATAATATTATATTATTGAGTAAATTTACTTACATAACTATTAATTCTATTTGGGCATCATTAATGTCTTGTACAACTTGTGGTAAAATACTTGCATCCTCAACTTCTGAAGCAAAATTAGTAAACATTATAATTTTTTTTGCAGCTATCTTCTTATCCCTTCAAAATATTTTGTAATTAATTATCCACATTCAATTTTAATAAGATGTGAACTAAGAAATATGCAAAATAAAGAAACTGTATTTTGTCATTTTTGTAAGATGAACAAATTAAAATTGACTAAATAACTCTTTATGAAAATTATTCTGCTCACTGGATTTGTTCTTTAAGGAAATCTACTGCTACTATAATTCCTTTCAACCAATCAGCTTTAATATTTGTAGGAGTGACATCATTATTTATATAATGAAGCATTTCCCATGACGATAGTGATAAGCAAAAGGCTTCTTCAATATTTTCAAACTTTCCCTTGAATTTTGATGCAAGCATATTATTTGTGTTCGCTGAACCAAGAAGTATCAACCCCAGTTCATCTTTGGGTTTATTAAATATCTAAGATAAATAACATGTAAATTTATTAATATATTTGATATAATACTTAAATTTTAGAAATAGTGTGAGTTAGTATAGGGTCATGTTCAACTAAATCATAGCAATTCTAATCAATTAGTTATTAATTGTAATGATTTGTTTATTAGCAATGATATCTCACATATATGGAATCAAAATGTGAAAAAGAAAAATAACCTTTCTTTGAATTAATTTTGTTAAGCAAGTGCATGATCGTTCAAAGAACGTCTCTTTAAATGCATCTTCTTTGTCTAATGTTACAACATTTACACCAACATCTAAAATTATAACGGTAGCTTCCTAAAAATAAATATAAACTATTACTCAAAGAAATGTTGTAAACACAAAAATGATATAAATGTTCATACCTTTGAACTTATCGGAGCCATATTAAAATAATAATATAATAGTTTTATTCGTATCTAAAAATTCTATGTAAATTATAAATCAGAAATAGAAAGAACTTAATCAATCTTTACAGCAGGTTTTAACCAATTCTAACATGTTCTTTCGAATTTGACATTTGAATATGCAATAAAAGTCAAAACAATGTACTGTGTACAACTTCAATTCAAAGTGCTAATGTTGTTAAGGTACATTTACATGAAAATATCAAATCTCCAGCAAATTTGCAATTAATTTGCTCTACGACGACATCGAGTTATCGTTATCATTATTTTTAATTTTTGTCTTCAATGATCATAAACCCTTACACTAATTATAGAAAATGAATATATTGTGTATTATATATCTTATATATCCATGCTAATTAAATATATTCAAGATACGACACATAGAGAAAGAAGAGTTATCGACATATATAATATTATTACCAAACACCATTAATTAACAACAAAAATTTAAATAGGTATAAGCTCAAGATATTGAAATTAAATTTGATCTTAAGATATGATATTTTGTAATAGTTTTTGTTGTTATAATATTAACAGTTTTGCAGTTGAAGTTGATTTAAACGCAGCTATTAGAGAGTATTTTTTATTTTAAACCGAGGGCCATAAATAAACATTTTCATGAGTTATTCTTGCATAATTATTTTATATCTAATTCTAAAAAATTAAAATAGTTTATTTATTAATTATTAATTTGTGAATTTATCTTATTAATTATATTACTAGCGTATGGGGTTCGAGATTTACAATTTAGGCGCGAATTTTGTTCTGTTGTCAGTGACTATTGGTGGCTATATAGCGCGAAAAAGTCACTTCTTCATGGAATTGCTTTAACACATCACCTCTGAGACAGTTTGTTGAAGTGCTTTTTCGCGGTTTTTTTTTTTTACATCTTATTAATCATTAATTTTTAAACAAACTTCGAAGCACTGTATAATGGAATCAAAAATTGACGCCGGAAAAGAAAATATTATGAATTTGGAAAATATTTCTATTAAGGTAAGTGGTGTATTTTAAATGCTTTGTTTATGTTTTCAGTAATTTCAAGTATGTGTTATCTCCGCAGTCCCCTAGTAAAGGTGAAAATGTGTTGAGTCCCAGATCATTAAACATCTTAAATGATGTTCGTCAACACTCTCCTAGTAAGAAACAAGCTTTGGAAGAGAAACCTTTTGACAAGGAATTGGAGCCTCTACTTCGTGAAAATCCACGTCGTTTTGTTGTTTTTCCTATTCAGTACCCTGACATTTGGCAAATGTACAAGAAAGCCGAAGCATCTTTTTGGACAGTTGAAGAAGTTGATCTTTCGAAGGATTTAGCAGATTGGGACAAGCTGAAGGATGGCGAACGTCATTTCATTTCTCATGTTTTGGCATTCTTTGCAGCTTCTGATGGCATTGTGAATGAAAATTTAGTAGAACGATTCAGCCAAGAGGTCCAAGTTACTGAAGCCCGATTTTTCTATGGGTTTCAAATTGCTATGGAAAATGTACACTCGGAAATGTATTCTTTATTGATAGAAACTTATATCAGGGATCCCGTTGAAAGGTGATTACTATATTTTATACTGCTAATGTATTTACTTTTCAGTTAAAGCATGTTTTTATATAAATGTTTACACTCTACTTGAGATGCATATCTATTTCTTGGATTACTTGTAAAGTTTTAGTAACTTTACTTGCATAGCAATATCAGCTAAGTTTTTGTTGATATCTAACATTGAGGTTATATATTTCTCAAATTTTAGTTTCAAAAATAGCTTTATATGCTATAATATATAAATCAATAAATTTAGGAAAGTATTTGGTTCAAACTATATATTGTTAGAGAAATCATGAATTTTGAGGAAATTTTGTGCAATGATTATATAAAAATGCATGGCACTTTTCGGTATAAATATGATGCATTTTTCATGTTATATAAAATTTTCAGAGATTTTCTTTTTAATGCTATTGAAACTTTGCCCTGTGTCAAGAAAAAGGCAGACTGGGCTCTACAATGGATTGCTAGCAAGACTGCAACATTTGGTGAACGAATTATTGCTTTCGCTGCTGTGGAAGGTGAATATTAAAATTAAATATAGAACAAAATTTTAACACCTAATTTATTGAGCTTTTATGGTTGAGTCATTTATTTACTACTACTTTAGTCGGCAGTTGATACGCTTGCGTAAATTATTAAAAGAAGATTATGCTAGCTGTTAAGCAATGACTAAGTAAAATACAAAATTAATACATAATTGAAATTTTACATTAGATATAGTTTACAATGTAAATACTTTCTAATGCAACCAATAACTTCCGTTTATTTGCAGGAGTGTTTTTCAGTGGAAGTTTTGCTTCCATATTTTGGCTGAAGAAACGTGGTCTTATGCCAGGTTTGACCTTCAGCAATGAGTTGATATCAAGAGATGAAGGTCTACATTGTGACTTTGCATGCTTGATGTTCAAACATTTAGTACAAAAGCCAACAAAATCTCGAGTTATTGAAATAATAAGAGAAGCTGTGGTCATTGAACAAGAATTTCTAACTGATGCTTTACCTGTAAGGCTTTTGGGCATGAACTGCGACTTGATGTCGCAATATATAGAGTTTGTTGCTGATAGACTATTAGTGGAATTAGGATGTGATAAAGTGAGTACACAGTAGCAATCAGTAATGTTAATTTCATTTACCTCAATGTTAATTCTCTGTTTTCAGATATACAATACGAAAAATCCATTCAGTTTTATGGAATTAATTTCTTTGGAGGGGAAAACTAATTTCTTTGAAAAGAAAGTAGGAGAGTACCAAAAATGGGGTGTAATGTCCAGCCGACTTGACAATGTTTTTACGTTGGATGCTGATTTTTAATTTTATTTAATTGTATATAGCTAGTGATATATTTAAATACTATTTTTTATTATTCATTTTATTGTGATGACCTAATTGTAAGATATTTTTAAAATAAAATACATTTTAGAATATTCGCTGACTTAAAATTATTCTGTATTTCTAAAATTTAGTATTTTTTCAGGTATTTTTTCATTTATTAAAGTAACTATAATAACAATAAAAAGTGTTTTGAAAATTATGAACAAGCAAGTAATAAAACAAAAAAAAACTGTTCTGTATGAATAATTTTTCATTAACAGTTGAAAACATTAAAACCAAGCCTGCATTCCTCAGTGAAAAATAATTAACATAATAAAATTTTAGTATATTCCGAAAGGTATTAAAAATTGTCAAGGGAATATTTATGTATGTACTTTATTTTGAAATAAATACAATATATATATATATATATATATATATATATATATATAATATATGTGTGTGTGTGTGTGTATGTATTGTGTCATGTGAATTGTTAAATTAATTTATATTTCTTTTATGTGTGATGAATCGCCTGTAATTATTTTTAATGCTTTAACATGATATCATATAAGATGTGATATGATATATAACGTATTGCATAATGCAATTTTTTGGGAGCGAATGATTTCGATAAGATATTGCATAGACATGACAGTAACGCGCAGGCCCTTGTATCTCAGTGTAAAACCCGCGTTCACTAATCGTACTTAAAGTAACATAACCTAGGTGAAGATTTGGCGCTAGTGAGCCGATATCAAGTGACAGGTTTGTAATCCTCTAGCATCAAGCCGCCATTTTGATCTGAGTTGTTATTGTGATTTGCAACTATTCTGTTAACGAGTGTTGTGTGTAATTGTTTATTAAGTTTGAATAATTGTTTAAACAAAAAGTATGACTTTTAATTGCAGAGCAAGTGTAGTGAATATAATAGAAAGTGTGGAATGTATGTAATACATAGTGTATATAATGTAAGAGTCATTCGATATGACTTGATTCATTGTAAGGAATTTGCTGAAAAGAGTCAAATCTTATTTGGGATGATTATTAGTTACACAAACACTGTAATTCAGTGTTCGCTAAGTTATACTAAATCTTTATAGTACTAGAATAGAATAAACTCATAGAATAGAAGTTTTTGGTAGTTCTAATACTCACGGGGTTAATAATACCAATCTTACCGTCCATTTATTAGATCACACAAAAGGCTTGTTGTCAATAATTTTCATTCTGTCAAGTTAGAGTGCAATAAAAATTGTTATTATAAGTATGTGTGATTTGTATTTAAAGCTGTAGATATGTTTATTGTCATTTTTAATTTTATTGATGAGATACATATTATAATATATTATTGTTTGATATGTTATTATCATTGTATTTTTACAAAATATAATATTGTAATGCAAAAATTCAATTCAAATAAACTATTTTTCAAGTTATACATTTTTTATATTATTATTAATTTATTTTAAAAACTATAAAAATATTCATTTCAAATTTTGGCGCGCTAATTCGAATGCTGAGCGATACGCGATTAAAGCGCCATTTCGAAGTGTTGTACGCTACGAAAACTAACTCTCTGAACCAAAATACCGGGAGAGAGAAACGTCTATATTATTATATTGTCTAGGGTAACGCGATAGCCATGCGAACATTCGGCTAATAACTTCGCACGTCGATTCCCGTGAGATCATTATGATATTATTTGATTATTTGTCAGCCTGTCTCATCTGTCCTGTCATTCTCAGCACGCTTCGCGGAGAGGTTAGACGGTTGTATGTCGGATTGTCGGTGTTCCGTGATATTGTGCATGTTTCCATTTATAATTGTTCATTTTCGAATTGGTTGCTTATCTGAATTTTGTCATCGCATCGTATGTGATTTATATTAATTATTGTGTTTGTTGATTACGTTTATAAAAGTATTCTGTTGAAGAAGTTTGTGATATTTTGCTGAAAATGGAATGGATGTTAACAATATTCGAGGATATGTCAGGACAGACGTTGTTTTTTGCATGCAGCATTGGATATGTTATTTATTATCTATGCCAAGTTGTTAAGGTAAGTTTAATAGATAATTCTAATGTTTTTTGGTCGAAATTCAAACAACAAAACGAATTCAATACCTGTTACGATCATAATTTTTGAATTTGTTCCGAACGTTTTTATATGGCCTATAAATAAATGTTAATATAACGATTTCAATAGTTAAATTGTAAAAAAAGGTTCTTCTTTTTTAATACTATTAACTTTACGTGTTTTACAAAACAACTTTAATCTTTAATGTTATAACTCAATTTAAATATGATGCTATACAACAAAAAATAGAAATCTGCAGTCACATTGGATCAATATATACCATGTTAGGTGTAGGCATGCGGTAATATAAGCGCGTGTGAGTATTTCGGACGATGAAAGATATATAATAACTAACTAGTCGTGCATGGCATCGTGCCTTAATGGGGTATTCTACTGTAGAATTTTATTATATTTTTATATTTTCAAAGTTTAGTAATTCAAAAATATGTCATTAAAAGGATTTTTCAAAATTACTATTATTTCCTGAGTTATGTCCGTTTTAGTGACGTGGCCTCGGTTCGGGTCCGACCGAGTCTCAAAACTCTGAACGCGTTTTTCTCAGAACTACTTTTTTCGAGCTGGCGGTAAGGATATCTCGAGTTCTAATGAACCAATTTACTTCAAATTTGGAGAGGATCTTCTCTATACATTGCTTTATCGCATGGACCTTTCCCAAAACTATAACTTTTCATTTAGTATTTTTTAAAAATTCGGAATTGTTAAAAAAAAAACATGAAAAAAAATATTTATTTTTTCAAACTGCCGCCATTCAAACAAAATTTTTTTTTTAACTTATCCAAGGTTCATACGATAGCGGCATCTATAATAAGTTCAGAATCCATCTATTTTTTATGTTTCGGATCACCAGGAGGGTTGGAATCATGCACGCCAGGACACCCTCTTTGACTGCTCATAACTTTGTGAATTCTAATTTTTTTTCTTTAATAATTTTTTTTATGTAATAATAAAATATCAATAAACAAATGATAAAAAAATAGATAGTAAAAATATTATTTGTTTCCTTTATACAGCGCTTCAAAAACCGGGCAAAATTCATGCTTCTACAGTAGAATACCCCCTTAAGGCACATTGCTGAAGCTTCCCGCACCGAATATTATTATTTTTTTAAAAGTATAAAATTTTTGGCGAAACCGATTTTTTAGAATGTTTAAATTTTTAAAAAAATCTGTTTTTTTTTTAATATTCTGAAATGTTTTGGAAATTTTGAACTTTTTTTCAAAGCAATCGCGTTGCGTTAGCTGCGTAGGGAGGAAATATCGAAGCGCGTAGCGCCGCATCGCATTGCTACGGATAAATTTAGGTACGGAACTCATAGAAATGTTTTATAAAATATCTGATAATATGATCTGCATGTGTCTAATGATAATTTTTGACCGCCAAATGTGCATGTGTCTAATGATCATTTTTGACCGCATATTTTATATTGGATCTCGGAAACCGCTGGACCCTTCCCAAAAATTTTATCAGTTCTTCATTTCGCCGATACAAATAAAATGCTTTTATCATTGAAATCGGATGTTCCGTTATCTCGACCATTTACCATTTTTGTAAGGTGACCATAATTTTTTAAGTATACCATACTTTAGAAAAAATGTATGTATGTGTATGTGTGTGTGTGCGTGTGTGTATGCGTGTGCGGATACAAATTTTCGTCGACGATTTCGGGAACACGGATCAACCGTTTTGAGTAATTCAAAAAACTTTCGATTCGTATTGATAAGGAGACGTGCTGATTAGTATTTGGCGAAGGCAGATCTAGCAATTCCGAAGATATGGGGCAAAAAGTGCCAAAAACGGTACCTCAGTTTTTAAGAGAACGGAGCGTCCGATTTTAATAATTCAACAAACATTTTACTTGTATTGACAAGATGAAGAATTGATCAAATTTTCATAAGGGCAGATCTAGCGGTTTCGGAGATCTAACAAAAAAGTAAAAAAAATGCCATTTCAGATATCGTTATCAGATATTTTATAGAGATTTTAACAATAAGTATAAATTATGTTTACATTCCTATGGGTTCCGTACCAATGTTTATGCGTTAGACGGCGACGCGTACGCACTTTATATTTTGTCTCTAAGCAGTTGAAGCAGTTCGATTGCTTTGAAAAAAAGTTCAGATCTTCCAAAATATGTCAAAATAAAGAAAACATTTTTTTTTCAAAAAAAAAATAAATAAAAATTTTTAATTTTTTTTTCAAAAAAAGTAATTTTTTGTCCAATTTATAGTTTCTCAAAAATCTTATTTTTTTTAAGTAAAATTTTTTCAAAAATGTTAATTGTTTTTAAAAAAAAATAATAAATTTGGTACGGGAAGTTCCAGCAATTTGCCTTAAGGCACGATGCCTTAATTGCCTTAAGACAGAATTCCACTTACAGCTAGTTTTATTATTAAATAAGAAAAATATTCAATTTAGACTTATACTTTTCGAAAATCCGTGACAAAAGATATAAATCCGGGACAAATATTAATTTTAGAAAAACCCGGGACACAAGATGGAAATGCGGGACTGTCCCGGTCAAACCGGGACGTATGGTCACCTTAATTTTTGGCATTTTTTGCCCCGTTACTTTTAAACGGCCGGAAATTTCAGGCAGACTGTTGGGGTAATAACTATAGCAAAATCAACTTATAATTATTGAATGTAATGAATACAGTAGAACCTCGATTATCCGGACCTCGGTTATACGGATTCGCGATCATCCGGACATAATCGCATCGGAACTTGCATATCCTGATGTGCATATATACATTAATACATTCTCTGTTTTAACGTGCATATATACATTTTTAAAGGATGGTGTTATCCCTTAAAGATAAAATAAATATTATAGAATCATTAAAAAAGGCGAAACCGGCCGTAAGTTAGCTGATAGGTATGGTGTAGTGTAGATACATCCACTATAAGCGATATTAAAAAGAATGCCGCTTCAATTTTGTCGTACACTTGCAAGTTAGATAGTAAAGAGGGTAGTGAAAATCGGAAAATGGTGAAGAGACCGAAAAATAAACTCTTAGAAGAAGCTCTATATTGTTGGTTTTTACAAAAACAATCAACAAATTATTTGTAAGCAACTTTTCTTCTTCATTGATACTTTACGTACCACCTGAATATAGTTAGCTCATGTTAATATAATATGTACGAGGTCTGTTCAAAAAGTTTTCGTAATTTTCGTTTTTTCAAAAAAATATTGATTTATTCGTCTACATTAATGTGGTCCCCTTCAAAGTAGTCCCCCCCAGATATAATACACTTATGCCAGCGTTTTTTCCAATTTTCGAAGCACCCTTGATATTCACTTTTTGATATGTCCTTGAGCACTCTCGGCGATTTTCTTCAATCGAGGAAAACCGCCGTCCTTTCATGGGTCTCTTCAACTTTGGGAATAGGAAAAAGTCACACGGAGCCATATCTGGTGAATTTTTGCACTTTGCAACACTTTATTTCATTTTTTACGCCAAATTTAATACAAATTCTTTGACTTTTTCAATTCTTCCATTGTAAAAATCGCCGAGCTCAGAAAAACACGTCGAACCTTAGCGACTACCACAGACAAAGTAAACAGTGAATATAGCTGAAAATTTCATCATACTTTAGGGGCATGTATACCAACACAATAAAAAAAAATTTTTGACAATCAGACACTCCAGACCCGCGAAATTTAATTATTAGTAATTCCGGGTACTTTTTGAACAGACCATGTATAATGTAATCTAAGAAAATATGTAAGTGTTAATTTTCTAATAAACATCGATTTTTGTTGATATCTATGTATGCATTTGTTATTTTTGATAAACAAAACATTATTCTTCATAATTTGGATTATCCGGATTTTCGATTATCCGGATGCCTATCGACAACAATTAGTCCGGATAATCGAGGTTCTACTGTATATTTAATTTATTTTGTTAAAATTGACAATTGAATTTTTTATTAAATATTTTTATTTGTACGGTTGCCATTTCCAAAAATTGTTTGTATTTTAAGGTGTTTTATTAAAATTATTTACATGTATCGCATAGCAAATTAAATCAAGACCCGAAACACGTGCTAGATTATCTAGCATTGGTTTTTTATTTAACCCTTTGCGCCTCTGAGGCGACAGGGCAGTTTTTATACACGACATGAGCAACCCGCGGCACACGGGCTTCATATGAACTTTAAATATTTTTCTACGGCCCGCCAAGCATTTTTAAAATAGTACATATTTTATTTGTTTCATCAAATTTCTCTCATCAATAAATCAATTAATTTATTCTTTTTTGTTGCATTAATTTATGATTTTTTTAACTTTCCGTAGGGTAAGTTATTGTAATGGGCCGAAAATCGAAATTGAAATTTTTTACATTTCTCGACGTTTTGAAGGTTTCTGAATATTTTGGCATACCTCAGAAAAAATGGATGTGTGTGTGTGTATGTATGTATGGATACAATTTTTCAGTCACGTTTTCGGGCGCACGGATCAACCGATTTAAATGGTTCAAAAAACATTCAATTCCTATTGATAGGGAGATGTGCTGATTAGTTTTTGGCAAAGGCAGGTCCAGCAGTTACGAAGATAAAGGGCAAAGAGTGTAGAAAATAGAAATCGAGTTTTTGAGAGAACGGAGCATCCGATTTGAATGATCTAAAAAACATTTAATTAGTAATGATTGGGAGAAGTGTTTATTAGTTTTTGGCAAAGGCAGGCCCAGCCATTTCGAAGGTACGGAGCTAAATGTGCAAAAAATGGCAGTTTTTGAGAGAATTAAGCGTCCTATGTAAATGATTCAAAGAACTTTCTGCTTGCCTTAACAAAATAATAAATTTTGTATTTTTTTTTATTTTTTTTTCTTAGTTTTTTTGGATATCGAAAATAATTCAGATTTTATTTTTAATTCTGACAAAAGTTCTAATATAGATTAAACAAATAATTTTAACTTTGTAATTTAGTTTATATAATTCTTATAAATATTAGACAA